AAGCCGCAATCACATTTGAACTTGTCTTCTTCGTCGTCTACCGTCCTATGTCTTCGTCGACGTTCGCGAAGGCCTATGTCCCCGGTCCTGAATTTGACCTTAAGCTTTGTCCCTGCATCCATTGGTCCATGTAGGTAATCCTTGAACCCTATTCCTTCTTTCAACATTCCGTACACTTCTAGACCCTCCTTATCCTTGGATTATTTCCTTAGATTCTGTTCTTCTCTATCGGCACAAGCAACAGATATCTTCTTCTCGAACCCCTGTAGACCCTCCGTTTCAAGCGTTTCATCTTCGTCGATGTCCAATCCCTTCCATACGTCCTCTACAACCTTGACCCATTCCGTGGGTTGTCTACCCCTGTTTTTGTTTGCCCACTTCGCCTCCCATACTATTCTCGGCAATCTCTCCTCTCCCATCCCGCACATGCGATACTGCCATGTCAGCTTCCTTACGTCTCTTCCCGACCGTAGGGATTGGATCCCCAATTCTGCCCTGACTGCTGCATTACTTGTGCGCTTGGAGCATCCTAGGATGATTTTCGCTGCTTTCATCTGCGCCGCCTCGAGTTCTTTCACTACCTTCTTATTTCCTTCCCATACTTCTCCGGCGTACTCTAGCGGCGGTACGATTACGCTCTTCAAAACCGTCAATTTGATGCGTGTATCAAGGTGCCGGTTTGCGAGTATTGGGTGCAGCTTCCCTGCTCGTGCTTTGCCCTTTTCCGCTACCTTGGACATGTGTGTATTCCACGAGCAATCTTTTGCGATCTACTCCGAGGTATGTGTACTGGTCCACTACTGCAATCTCCTCGATCCCCCACTTCCATCTATGTTTCTACTGGTTCCTTCCTGCCCTCGTTGGATACCATGACGGCACTCTTCGTAACGTTGGCAGACAATCTCCACTTATCAGTAAACTTCTTCGCCGCGTCAATTTGCAGTTGCAGTCCCTCAGGGGTGTCCGACATACCAACAAAATCATCCGCAAACAGCATTCCTGACACCGAAGTTTCCGTGTCCCCTACTTTTACTCCCTTCCGAACTGCCTCTACGACTTCCAACAGATCGTTGATGAACACCTGGAACAATGTTGGGGACAGCGTGCAACCTTGTGGGACCCCTTGCTCAATGTCGAAGAATTTAGAAAGTTCTCCGTCTAGCATGACCGCGCTTTTCGTACACTCTGTCATCTTCTTCAGCACTCTCCACATTTTCCCCTTGATCCCGTACTTGGACAATTGTTTCCACAGCCCATTTCTCCATACGGTATCGTATGCCTTTTTCACGTCCAGGAAGAAGCAGTACGTCCGCTTTCCCGCCCTCTTTCTACCTTGGATGATTCTCCCTACCGTGAATGCGTGGTCTACGCACCCCGTCTTCTGTCGGAAACCTGCCTGGCCCTCACTAATGCTACGTTTCTTCTCCATTACTCCCACTATCCTATCGTTCAGCAGCTTACAAAACACTTTTCCTACTGTGTTCAACAGTGTGATACCCCTGTAGTTTCCTGGGTCAGTCTTGTCTCCTTTCTTAAACAAGTTCACAACCACTCCTTCCCTCCATCTACTTGGCGCATACTCGTTTTTCCACACCCAGTTGTACAGCAGTACCATCAGCTGGATCATCCCCTTCCCCCCAAACTTCATGAACTCGTTGACTATCCCATCCGCCCCTGCTGCTTTGTGGCACTGCAGCTTGTTCACACACGCTTCAACCTCGTCCTCAGTGAACTCCTTTTCTAGTGGAGGGGGGGGGGATCTACTTGATGGTGTGCGCGCTTGCCGAATATGATGACCAGACCATTGCTACAGCACTATTTAGTTGGCCCAGAAGGGTAGGTTTTTCTAACGATTAGGGCACTCTAGTCCGCTGTACTGCTCTCTGTCTTGCTGCTGCAAATCTCCTCCACACATGAGCAACCCGCTAGCTAGTCGCAGGTCATGCCAACCTTGCCGGGATCCAGCGCGCACACCAAGTCGCAACACTACTAAACTCGTCGTCCAACAAAAAAAAAAAAAAACACCGTGAAGACTTCAACCCATCCCCTTCGACTGTGGTTATATCTCGAACGGGTAGTTTTCCTTGGATTCTATGTATATTCTCGAAAAAAAAAAAGGTGACAAGAAAAAAAAAAAAAAATCACCTCCATGACGTGTAGCATGAGAACCC